ATAAACATGGTATGCATGTGTTTGTTGATGGTACCTCTTTAGAGCCCTCCTGTGGGGTAAGGGTTGGGCTGCCAACCCCAAGGTCAATGGGTCAAAGCACCAACTGCTCCCAGGCAGGAAGAGGAGGCTTGTCTGGTACTTAAACATTTACAGTCTGGAAACCCTATGGATGCAACTGTGTCCATTATGAGTTGTAATAGGCTCCATTGTGGTGGGTTAGGGAAACTCTAGATGTGTATGTGTGTGTGTGTGTGTGTAGCTCGATGGTGGTGGGTTAGGGTAACTTTACTTGTAGCATTCCTTTCTTTGAGGAGACGTCACACTGTTTTTCAAGACAACTGTACTATTCTGTATTTCTGTCAGCAATGGAGGAGGGTTCCAATTTCTTCACTTACCTTCAAATATTTGTTATTTTCGGTCTTAGCCATCCTCGTGGTTAAGTGTCATCGAATCAACTCCCACTCATAGTGACCCTGTATAGGGTTTCTGAAGAGCAGCTGGTGAGTTTGAACTGCTGACCTTGTGGTTAGCAGTCCAGTGCTGATCCCACAGCGCCACCCCAGTGGGAGTGAAATGTTACTTCATTGTGGTTTTACTTGGCATTTCTCTGATGGCTCATGACTGTATCAAAAAGTACATGGAACCAAATCCTTTAATTTTTCATTCCATTTTTCCATGAACTTCTTGAATCCCCCTCATCTACATAAACTTACAGGTGCAGGCAATGGGTAGTAATAACTCTTCCTCTTGGTATGATGAATGGTTTCCTAGATTACCTGATCCTCTGCCATAGCGCATCTCTAGGCTCCTTGAGAGTGAGATGGAAAGAGAACCCCCGAGCCAGGGACGAGTTGGAATGCAGGCTTGACTTTGGAAAAAGACCATGAGGATGGGAATTGTCAGGATGTGAAGCTGTCCCCATTTTGTGAAAGGACAGTGTGGAGGATTTATTTGTTTTAATGAAATCTCTTTGCTTTACTCAGGTTTGGTTTCAAAATCGGCGATCTAGATTACTTTCCCAGATTAATGAAGATCCTGATGAAACCACAGACAGTGAGACCGAGAAACAGGAGAGCCGGGATGACAAGACTCAGAGTAACTTAACTGGTTTGTTGTTGTTGTTGTTTTTGATGTTTTATTGTGAATTATGTGATAGTTTACATGGGAGAGCATTAGTTTTACCTTCATCCTATTGTAAATCGTTTCATTGCCATGGTATAACTTAAAACTGTTTTGCAAAATTGGTTTCAACTTCAGAGCCTTTTGGGTAGCCAGTGTTTCCACAGGGTGAAAACAAACTGTTCTTGGGAGGGCAGTTAGTTGATCAGGGTCCATGTAGACAGTGGACTGGTCAGAGATTTCTCCTAGGTCTGTAGACCTACCAGATAATCTATGACCCATTTTCTTCCATCTGGAGTCCAGCATCCCAGCTGGAATACTGCATCTTCCCACGGCCTATAACAGTGCCTATTGTAGTGGCTACATGTCACCATGTTAATTTCGACTCATGGAGAGCCCATGTGACAGTAGAAATACTCCATAGTGTGTCCTAGGCTGTGGTCTTTGAGTGGCGCTGTAGGATCAGCACTGGACTCTGAATAACAAGGTTGACAGTTCACAGAAACCCTATATAGGGTCGCTATGAGTCAGAATTAACTCAACACCCCTTACAACAACAATTTTTATGGGAGCAGATGGCGAGGTTTTCCTCCTGTGTCACCCCTGGGTGAGTTAGCCTGGTATGTGGTAAATGTTGGACGCATGGCTGAGGGGATTGGAGGAACAAATCTTTAGGAATATGCTGCCTGAGGTAGACTGGGCAGATTTTTCATTAAGAGACAGTAGGTTCCCTATTGAACGGGAAAGCTGGGGAAGTGTTGGCTCCTGTCTGTGTATATAAACTGGAGTCTCAGTTTTCTTGTCTCTCTCTTTCCTTCTAAGCTTTTGAAGCCACACGAGATGAGATGACCCAAACCAGTGACTTGAGTGGTCTGGATTCAGAATGAGCCGTATAGAGAAACATATCTAGTATCCCTGGTGTCATCACTTGAGGCCCAAAACCCACCTCCCATTCTTCCTAGAAATGTCTTATTTCCCTGGGCTGACAGACTGAGCCTTCTGACAATTGTACCAGACCTTGGAGATCTAGGCGTGTGTAAGAGACATCTCACTGCCTTCCTAATCTCACCTGACGAGAGTTCAAGAAATTGCAGAACAATGGGAAAATTTAATAAACATCGTTTAAAAAATCATCCTCATCGATTCAAGCAAAAGAAAAAAAAATGTCAATCAATGTTAAAATGTTTTGAGTGTTTGAAGAATAAGATAATGTCTCAAAAAAATCTTCCCCACAGGCTACATATTAATTATAAAAGGAAATTATCATTGAGAAACTGGGAAGATGAAAATCTGCTTCACTTGTAATGGCATCAACTGGTACAAGGAAGTACTAGGGAGGACACCATATCTCCTCTTTATGTCACCGCCCAAAGTGCATATACTGACTAACCAGGAAAAAATACCAGACTAACTGAGGGACACACAAGTCACAGTTCTGTGCACTCTTCAAAACCAGACTGAACAGTCCTAACAGGGAGAGAGAGAAAGTACGTCATCTCAGGAACTACCGATGAAGCGAGCCTCCTGAAGTTTTCTTCTATGGATATATGCACAGGTCTGTTTATACCTAAAATGTCTCTCCAAAAACACAAAACAAAACAAAACAAAACTGGGAACACTGTGGAAAGGAATGAGAGAAAGAACAAAGTACCATTTTAATCTTTCCATCCTATTTGAACTTTAAACATTTAAATGGTGATATTTAAAAGCAATTTTAAATGTGGTCAAATGTAATATTACATGAAAGAAACCAGACACAGAAAGAGTAGATACATAGTGAATAATTGCATTGTCTTACCCTACAAAACTAAGGTGTAAGCCTCCACCTCTGAGGTATGAATAGTGAGTACAAGGAACCCAGGGGCAGCCTCAGTGAGGTGAGATGAATCACTTTAGTCTTTTGGAATGACTCTTGTGCCCTTATGTGGCAACCTGTGAAAATCCAGCAAAATGTCCACAGATGATCTGTGCCATTCATACCGTGTTATGCCAGTCAGTCATCACAAATGTTTGCTAACGGAGGTTCTTGCTGCATTTAAATTAGGCAACGGGATTGGGGTGTTATAGTGAGAACTGAGGTGAATAATACAGGATTGGAATGTTGGCATTTTGTTGGTGGATTGTTACGCATCACTTTTTAGGGAGCTCTTCAGGGTTGAGGAGCCACCACCAATGGCAGGTCAGACAGCAGGCAGGCAGGTAAGAAGGCGGGCTGATAAGGACTCTCCCAGCATCACCAAGGAACTGGAGGTCGAGGGACACGCCAGATGGAAGATCCAGATTCAACAGAGAGTCAGCAAACTTTACCCGAGTGTCCGATATACAGGCAGCAGGCCACGCCGTGGAGGAAGAAACAGACTTTCCATTAATTCGAGTTGATTGCATGATTTCAGATCACTTCATCGGAGATAACACGAAGGTTGTCCTTTCATGTGTTAACCTCAAACCACTCTGAATCCTGGTTCAGTACGGTTGGCACAGTCTGTACCACAAAAGGATTGTGATGGTTTTTTTAGTGACATTTTAACTCACTGAACATCTGGGTAAAATTAGGGTAGAGACAGCTACTGATAAAAACCGGTATTTTTATTTGAAGTAATATAATGAAGTGCCTTTATCAGCTTGGCCCTTTAATCTGTGTATGAATCAGCCTCCCAAATCCTATAAAATACAAATAATCCTTTTTCATGAACCTTTACTTCTAGTTCTTATTCTTAAGAACAGAGCTTAAAGGTATCTGAGATGAGTCATATTATATACAGTTACCTATAGCCACAGACAAGGAGTTCTGATAGTGTAGTGGGTACGAATCGGGCTGTGAACTGCAAAACCTCTTCGACCAACTTCTTCACGTAACAAGGGGAGAAGAAGTGGGTCAGCTGTTGCTACTAAATTCTGTTGAGTCGGTTCCAACTCATAGCTACCCTGTACAGGGTTTACAAGGATTGGCTTGTGGATTTGAACTACTGACCTTGTACTTCAAAAGTCCAGTGTTGATCCTAGAGCACCACGTCGGGATTCTAGTTGTCAATCTTTCTGACTGGTCTGAGGACATGTTGGTCCTCCGTGGGCTTGCAAGGACTTGTGTAAGCATACACATATTGTTGAAGTAAAGAGCTCCAATGGAGTCTGAGGGCACGAGGTGCGCCAAAGTAGGACTGTGCTCAATTAGGGGTTCTAAAAAATTTCAGGTTTTTAAATAAACACCAAAGCATTCAGCAGCAGGATTAATACAAGTACCATTCAATGATATTACTTCTATCCTTTTCTAAAAGATTCCAGCACCAGTGTTATAAATCAGCCCCTTCCACCCCACATTAATCATAATAACCATTGGCTTCTATATACTTCTCAGGTGAGTTCCTACAGCCGATGGCATTTTGCATCCCTAGGGTTTTCCAGAACTGAATAACCAGAAGTAGACCTTCAGGCATTTCTTCCAAGGCAACTCTGGAGGGACTGAAGCCTCCAACTTTAGTTTAGTTGCTGATCAAGTCCCACAGTACCCAGAAACTCAGCATAAGCAGTAAGAAAAGACAGCGAGATCCATAACACAGAAGAGCAGTGGTTCTCAACGTTTCTCAAGCATGAGAATTGCTCAGCTGAGTTGTGTACAGTAGGCGTACCGTAAATAATTCCACATCCTAAATGTGTGTTCGAACTTCTGTCACATGGTAGAGTTTTCCTTACAGAGAGGCAGTGATTGTGAGTGAGGCAGTGATTGTGAGTGAGGACATCAAGAGTTGTGCAAAGAGGGGTCTCCCTCTTATTGTGGTCCCTGAAGGGTCTTCTCCAGTGAGTCTGTGGTTAATGACTGCTGAGTCTTACCCTTTCTCTGGAGCTCAGCAGAGATGTCCTTGTGTAGGTACAAGAAGATGTACCTGTTGGTAAGTCTGTCCTTGTGCGTATTGGCCTTTTGGGTCTGCCAGACCTGGAGTTCATCGTACACGAACCAGGCCTGTTGTGCAAAGTCGCAGACATCGCAGACATAGTGACCTAGTTTTGTAGACTCCCCTAGAAGGCTGTCCACACTGATGAGTCTCTCTTAAAGGCGAGGGTTCCCTGTTTAGACATTTCTTTTAGATTCCTTGGCTTTCTTTGACTTCTGTGATAATACATACCTAGGAGGCCTTTGTTTTTAGGGTTCTCGCCAGAATCAAATGCTCTGAAGGAATTTAGAATAGCCTCCTGAAGACTCAGCACTGTATATATACCGAGGTCCTCCTCTCTTGTGTTCCTGCGTGTCTGGCTTCCTGAGGTTTCAAGGCGGAGCCTGTTGAACTTAGTCTCTTCCTAATATTCCACTGGGGCTGCTCATCCACTCCTGGAGAGCTTTCTGGAAGCCTGTTTTCTCTAGCCTCATAAAAATCTTCACTTCAGCGAAATTGCAGAACCTGCCATTATAGATGTGCTACTTGTCTCGTGTGTCTTCAGGGCAAGGCTTCCAGACACCGCTTGTAGATGACTTTCTACCACAACTCAGCTGCTGGTAGGTTTACCTCGATGTTCATAGATCAGGGAGGAGAGGTCTCTTCCCGAATCATGAAGTCAGCTGCTGGCCACTCTTTCTTACTGGCTGTCCCACATCTTGAGTTGACCAATTTGCACTCTGTCATGTTTCTTTTGGAGCCTGTTTTCGGATCACTCTTTTAATGTTTTCCATTTAATCCTTCAGAGAGACTCTGGAAAGTTTGCAATTCAGAGCCCTTTTCTGATCCAAGGAGTGGAACCAGGGAATCCTTGGATGCTAACCTTTTCTGATCCAAGGAGTGGAAGCAGGGAATCCTTGGATGTTAATGTTAATATCATAGGAGGTACCTAAGGAATGATGGATCCCAAAATCATATCTTGAGAGTCTTGGGTGTTCTCAATATGCACATTACTGCTCAAAGGAAGAGGTGGTTTTGTGCTTCCAATGCAATGTGAAGCCAAGCTTACGTGAATGGAAATGTCAACTTTCTGGGTATCCTTTAGCACACAAAGACCTTTAAAGATATAGCGTTTCAGGTGAACAATGAGAACCCCGGGTAGCCTCCTGAATTTGTACATTGCAAGAGATTTGCTGTGCCTGCACTTGTCCCAATTAGAGTCAAGGTCTTCTGGTTTGATGAAAAGGCCAACAAAATATTGTATGGAAAAAAGGACCTGATTGTGTTTCTTGGGAGAGGTTGATGGAGTGAGAATTGTTCAGTTCTGTCCTGCAAACAACCTCACCAAAGGGCATACACGTAATGGAGTGCGGTAATTCAGACTCAAACTTTGTGACCACAGGACAAAGAAGAACACTTTGTTGGCAGCATTAGCTGAGGAAAAGTGTGGCTGTGACGTTTCTTTGCCAATTTCCCCTTTTGTCTTCAGTGTCTTTTAGGCTTTCTGTGTATTCTTCAGCTTACATACATAATAAGCTTTAGTCCCAAATCATTACCATTGATGTTTTAAGGACAAATTCCCTGATTTAAGTAGGCCTGATAACAAAATGGCTAAGAAGTTGTGCAGTTTTGAGGGATGCTTCCTGTTCATTGAATTCTTTTAAAATCTTGACCTAACCTGCAACCACCATCAGAAATACTAACTCCACGGTGGGCAGTTCAAACCCACCAGCCCTTTTCATAATGCTCTACAAGGTTCTTGTGTGTTGGGACAGACTCTGGCAGCACATACCAGCATTTAGATAGATCTAGAGAGAGTGAGCACCCTGGTGGCACTGTAGGATAAGCACTGGACTGCTAAACACAAGGTTGGCAGTTCAAACCCACCAGTGGCTATGTGGGATATGATGAGAAAAATATACATTGACAAAGTTGAATAAACTCCAAACAGGACAGACCCCAAAAGAGAACCAAGAAGACATGTATCAACTTTCCTGGGCCATGATTCTCAGTGATTGATTTGACAGTTATTTAATGATGTAATGTGACAGCTATATGATGAGTCCCATGATGTGATCTGGTGTGAGAAACCAGTTAAAGGATTATGGGTTGAATACACCTCCGTTAATCCCATCACAGCCCTGACCCAAGTAAATGGAATTTTCTTAGGACATGCTCTGTAACGTTGTTTTTTTTTTTTACTAACAAACGATGTAAAATAGCATAGGTGCCTACTACCACCAAAGCTAGGAGCCTGGAGTGGAGTTGATCGTTTGGACCTAGAGTCTCCACATGCTGCTGCTGGCTAGATCCAGGGGGGTGGAGTGAGGGGAGAAGATTGGTGCCAAGGAGGATTGGACCTACAGCTTCTGAATGAAGATCAAGACCTTTCCCCAGAACTGACAGGGAAAGTCATCTCAGAAAGCCGACACTCTGAATTCTAAACCATGATTGAATAAATTTCTGTTAAAACCATCCATTTGTATTGTTTCTTATAGCAACACTAGACAAAAGACTATGGAATGTTCACTTGCCTTATATGCACATGAGAGCTGGACAATGAGTAAGGAAGGCTAGAGAAGAATATATGGTGTTGATGAAGGGGATACTGAACAGCAAGAAAAGGGAACAAATACGTTTCCGAGGTAGTACAACGGGGTGCTTCTTGGAAAGAGCATGGAGAGACTTTGTCTCACGTACTTGGACACCGGTAGATACATACACGGAGAGAGTATGCTTGGTGGTGCCATGAATAGTTATTGTCAACCCAAAGTTCAGTGGATTAAACCTACCAGCAGCTCTGCAGGAGAAAGACCTACTCTCATAAAGGTTTACAGTCTCAAAGCATAGCAGAATAGATAGGAAAGCAGGTTCCTTCAGTACACTGTCGACAAGAAGACTCACCTCACACACACAGATAAAAATAGACTAAAAATCAAAGAGTGAAGAACATACATCAAGGTAAAAGCAATAAAGGTGAGCGGGAGTGGTAATACTTTAAGGCAAAAAGTAGTGTAAGAGGCAAAGAAGGGATGTTATAATTAAAGGGTCTCTTGAGCAAGAGGACCTAATCATAATATACAAATCAAAACTCCCAATGAAAGAGCCGGACAATATATCAAACTCTCGTAGAACTGAAGGAAGTAGACAATTCTACAGTTATCGTAATATACAATTTTTGGCAAATGACAGAGCGTCTACAAAGAGACTTAAAGACGACTAAGGAGTTCTGGTAGCGTAGTGGTTACGAATCGGGCTGCGAACCTGAA